AGTAACGCAACACTTTTTATTTTTCATATACCCACTATGTTTTTTCTTTTATCACTTATTCTTAATCCTAGTAATACAAAATTCAACCAATCACAACTAGTTTTAATTTTGAATAAAGTTAATTACATAATATTTTAATTAAATTATTGTTTGGCATCCTCTCTTTGATGCTTTTCTTGTCATATACTAAATTCAATTTTATTTTATGTTCTATCTCAGTTTCAAGGTGCCTTCATCACTCCCATTGGTTGATATCTGTCAAAACGCGTACTGTTTTTGGGTTTACATTCTCCCCAAAACAAACTTGGTCAAACGTATATTTATTTAAAATTTTTTCGTATTTTAACCTGCATTTGCCTGTTTTATTTAAATTCCTAGCCATTATTCATTTTATTACAATATATTAAATATTGCAAACTTTTTTATGATGAGATATTAATTTTTCCGGTCTGAAACACTTTTTTTTCAAAGAAAAATTCTACTTAGAAAAATCATCGTACAGAGTTCTGTCGGTGATCATTTTTTTCGTTTTGACATATAGATACTTTTTGGTGAGCTAAAAAAATCTGTAGTCACAGTTCAAAAACATGCTCAAAAATGCAAAAAATAAAAAATGACTTGCAACAATGAATTTTTCAGTAGTTGATAATTTGTTTAAATTTAAAAAAAAATCAAAAACTGATTACACCATTCAATTGTACGGAAAAAATTAAAAGAAAAACTAATTGTTTGACCTAAAACTTTATTTTTATACAGTATTGCTATAAACATAAGTCGAATAGTGAATAAATAAAATAAATAATAATTTTTTTTCCGTAGGATCAATTAGTGTACATACTTATTTTTTTAAAATTTTGATGAATTCATAGATATACAGTGTGTCCAAGATAAGAATGGGATAGCATTAGGATCTAGGAGACGGTAAGAGATACGGGGTGGCTCAGGTTAGAAAAAAGTTTTGTTTTTTTATACCTAATAATATGCCGTTTAGAAAGTTTTAAAAATCCGGAAAAACCCGAAATTTTGCAAAATTGTTTTAATTTTTTTTCTGGCTTTATTTGAAAACGAATTTTAAAATAAATTGCATATTTACTATGCCACTTTTTTCGCTCTATACAATGGCGTCAACATTTTTGCAATCCGATGCTTCATCTTCGAGGGGCCATCATCAGGTTATTTTTTTTTTTAAATATATTGCTGCTCTTTTTTTGACCAAATCTAGTTATTTTTAATTCTGAATTAGATGGTATTACTATTGTACTCGCTTAAAAAGTTTTTAGTTTGTTTTAGCTATCATTTAAAATTTTTCCTGAGTACGGGTCTGAACGCTTTCAAAATTGGATGAAGTCATAACATTATAAAAGTCAATACCGCACAAAATATCCAACAATTTTTTACTACTATTAGCAATACTAATTAGAAATAATAAAACATTTCATAAATTCGTATTAATTATTTTTTTATTAGATACAACTTTTTTAAATTATTGATTAAAAAAAATTGTTGGATATTTTGTGCTGTATTGACTTTTCTAATGTCCCCTCTCCCTCTCCTCCAATAGATACAGGTATTTTGAAAGCGTTCGGAGCCGTACTCAAGAAAAATTTTAAATTGTAGCTGTAAATATGCAATTTATTTTAAAATTCGTTTTCAAATAAAGCCAGAAAAAAATAAAACGATTTTACAAAATTTCGGGTTTTCGGGTTTCACGTCAACAGTAGACTTTGCAGTTAAACTCTGTATTGCTGAAATCTCAAATCATCCAGAGATTATTTATCATTTGTGCATTTGTAATTCGTCTTAGATGTTTATAGCAATACTGTACAAAAATAAAGTTTTGGGTCAGACAATGAGACAGTTTTTGTTGTATTTTTTTCCGTAGAATTGAATGGTGTTATCAGAAGAGATTTTTTTTTTGAATTTAAACTAATTATAAACAATTACTGAAAAATTAATAGTTGCAAGTCATTTTTTATTTTTATTTGTATTTTTGAGCATGTTTTTGAACTGTGATTACAGATTTTTTTATTTCACCAAAGAGTATATGTCAAAACTAAAAAAATGATCACCTAGAACTCTGTAAGATGATTTTCCTAAGTAGATTTTTCTTTAAAAAAAAGTGTTTCAGACCGGAAAAAATGAATATCTCGGAAACTTCTAGATTTTTTTATCTAAAAAAAATTGTGGTTATTTAAAACACAGAAAGGTATACTTTCACCAAGTTCAAAAATCTGAAAAAACTGCTTTTCGCATTTTTCTCGGAAATTTTGAGATTATCGTAAAAATGACCTCTACAAAAGTTGTAGATTTTTGCATGATCTGCAACTTTTGCATTGGATACGTTTTTGTTCGACGTCAACTTTCGCCAGAAATCCCAATGATACAATTTTTCACAACTTTTCAATCCTCCAGATCAACCCTCCGCCAACCCTCACGCTTTTATTTTTTTTTAGGTTTATTATAAGCCCTTTTACCATTTCCACTTGTAAAAGTCCAGGTAACATTTTTTTTTTCTCTAAGTGTAATTTGGTTGAACTAGTAACTATCTGAAATTTCAAAATTGTTGGTGCATTTTTGGTATGAATGAATTCTTTTATTTTTTTCCATTATTTCGCTTATGGTATAATAAAACTAGACATATTATAATATTGCCGGATTTGTAAATAAAAAAGCAAATACCACATACGAGGTTACTCAAAAATAAGTACTGATGAAATTGATTTCATTCANAATAATTTTTTTTCCGTAGGATCAATTAGTGTACATACTTATTTTTTTAAAATTTTGATGAATTCATAGATATACAGTGTGTCCAAGATAAGAATGGGATAGCATTAGGATCTAGGAGACGGTAAGAGATACGGGGTGGCTCAGGTTAGAAAAAAGTTTTGTTTTTTTATACCTAATAATATGCCGTTTAGAAAGTTTTAAAATTCCGGGTAGATCCGGAGATATCCGGAAAAACCCGAAATTTTGCAAAATTGTTTTAATTATTTTTTTTTTATTTGAAAACGAATTTTAAAATAAATTGCATATTTACTATGCCACTTTTTTCGTTCTATACAATGGCGTCAACATTTTTGCAATCCGATGTTTCATCTTCGAGGGGCCATCATCAGGTTATTTCTTTAAATATCGCTGCTATTTTTTTGACCAAATCTAAAATCATTTTTAAAATTTTTCTTGAGTACGGCTCTGAACGCTTTCAAAATTAATGAAGTCATAACAGTATAAAAGTCAATACCGCACAAAATATCCAACAATTTTTTTTACTACTATTAGCAATACTAATTAGAAATAATAAAACATTTCATAAATTCGTATTATTTTTTTATTAGGTACAACTTTTTAAATTATTGATTAAAAAAAATTGTTGGATATTTTGTGCTGTATTGACTTTTATACTGTTCCTCCAATAGATATTTTGAAAGCGTTCAGAGCCGTACTGAGGAAAAATTTTAAATGGTAGCTGTAAATATGCAATTTATTTTAAAATTCGTTTTCAAATAAAACCAGACAAAAAATAAAAGATTTTGCTAAATTTCAGGTTTTCGGGTTTCGCGTCAACAGTAGACTTTGCAGTTAATACTTTGTATTGCTGAAATCTCAAATCATTCAGAGATTATTTATCATTTGTGCATTTGTAATTCGTCTTAGATGTTTATAGCAATACTGTACAAAAATAAAGTTATGAGTCAGACAATGAGACCCAGTTTTTGTTGTATTTTTTTCCGTAGAATTGAATGGTGTAATCAGAAGTGATTTTTTTTTAATTTAAACAAATTATAAACAATTACTGAAAAATTAATAGTTGCAAGTCATTTTTTATTTTTGTTTGTATTTTTGAGCATGTTTTTGAACTGTGATTACAGATTTTTTTATTTCACCATAGAGTATCTATATGTCAAAACTAAAAAAATTATCACCTATAGAACTCTGTACGATGATTTACCTAAGTAGAATTTTTCTTTGAAAAAAAAAATGTGTTTCAGACCGGAAAAAATGAATATCTCGGAAACTTCTAGATTTTTTTATCTAAAAAAAAATTGTGGTTATTTAAAAGAGAAAGGTATACTCTCACTAAGTTTCGCCAAAATTAAGTTATTTTTGCGGAAATGAGAAATAAAAAATGAAAAATCAGAGAAAAACTGTTTTTCGCATATTTCTCGGAAATTTTGAGATTATCGTAAAAATGACCTCTACAAGAGTTGTAGATTTTTGCACGATCTACAACTTTTGCATTGGATACGTTTTTGTTCGACGTCAACTTTCGTCAGAAATCCCAATGATACAATTTTTCTCAACTTTTCAACCCTCCAGATCAACCCTCCGTCACCCCACACGCTTTTATTTTTTTGGGTTTATTATAAGCCCTTTTACCATTTCCACTTATAAAAGTCCAGGTAACTATTTTTTTTCTCTAAGTGTAATTTGGTTGGACTAATAACTATCTGAAATTTCAAAATTGTTGAGGTGTGCATTTTTGGTATGAATGAATTCTTCTATTTTTTCCATTATTTTCGCTTATGATATAATAAAACTAGACATATTATAATATTGCTGGATTTGTAAATAAAAAAGCAAATACCACATACGAGGTTACTCAAAAATAAGTACTGATGAAATTGATTTCATTCAGAAATTCGTACCATCACCGAAATGTTTATAACGTGACCCTATTATATCATTATCTGCGAAAAAATAGAGGATTTTTCCCCTGTGCGAAAGCGTTAATGCTCTATAAAAATATTTTTCCGGCTCTCGTTCTGAACAATTTCCATATCAAAGTTGGCGTTATGCGTCTGCTGCTGCATCAGTAACAAAGCAAATATTTTCATGCCGCCTGATAAGGACTTTCCGTGTACTGGATGAAAAGATAAACAAAACAGATATCTTATCAACTTTTTACCAATACCTAAGCGCAAGCGTCACGACGATTGTAATAGTTTACGGTGTGGTATGAATCCAAAGTGTTGTTACAGTACCGCTCAAGTAGTATTAATGACGATTGACTGCGGTCATAGTCACAGCTGTTCGTATTTTGTTTTGACGTGACGCTTTCGTGTTGTCTAGTTGGCCTGGTATGAAGCATTGTGAAGGCGAACCGGAGTAAGACGTGTTTTAAAAGAAATCGTGAACTGGATTGTGCAACCGTGGAAAGAGTGACTTTTTTTGTGAGGTGTTACATCGCGCCGTTTTTTTGAACTGTGTCTAGGTTGCAGCATTGAATGAGAGGTGTGGGATCTTATTGATATTTGGTAAACTAGTTGGATCTGGTGCGTTTATTTTCGGAGAGACTGCTATTGAAATTAATTGCAGGTTATGAATAACTTGTTTTGTCTGTGATGTTACAGCGGTACGTTTTTCTTTTAATATACAAGGGCAGTTGTTCAGTTTTCAGACAATATGAAGAGTGTTATTGCAAAAAAAGCAACAAATTCACAATTATAGTTATTTGTTTGTGGCATTTTTGTTACTGTTTTTATTTATGCGGATGTTTCTGTTTTCGTTCTCAAACTCAAATTTAACTATAATACTTATTCAGTTATTAGCTACCTCCTCGTAGTACCAGCAAAAGTTAACAAAATAAACATTTCTAACTCAAAAAAAAAGCAACTGTAGAAAACAATTAACAGTTCTCCTAAGTGTTCCGCCATTAATCGTCTCCGGCCATCGGTAAATACCCATTTCAAAAACGAAACATTTACCAAGGTCGCGGGCGCATATTTAAAATAGTCGTTGAAGTTTGTAATAGATGCTACTTTTACTGGTGATGAAGCATCAACTGCTTCACATTTTCGTAATCCCACTATCCGCGTTATTGTACAATAAGATGTACATGTCTGCCTCTGATCTGAAGTTTCGCATCGATCAATTTATTCGATACGTATCTAGCGGCACCCTAATGCCTGCCCTGGTGTATCGTGAGCATAGAGCGGCACACGGCTTGAGCACAGATTTAGACTATTTCTGATACTACAACGAATATTATCGCTTACTAGCATAATATAAATTACAACTGTTTATTTATTTGATAGTCACCATAAAGTTGTCTATTTATTACCGTCGAGCAAAATGAACACACGGACTCTTTAATTTTGTTTTTGTCGATTTACTTTTCTTTCTTCTTTTTCTTTTTGTGTTATTCCATTAAATCATATGATTGTTTTGCCAAGCAGGGTGAACCTTAAATATCATACAATTTAACGGCGGGTAAAGTAAATGAGTTAAAGAGGATAAGTTATTTTTAGTACGAAAAAAACGCTATACCTACATACTGATCATAAAAAATGTTTTGTTTTGACCTCATAGGGTCCAAATTTTTAAATATTTTTTTTATGAGGAGATGATTTTATGATTCGCAAGACCGATTTCGTTTGTAGCTTGTATAATCTGAGGCAGAAAATATTGAACAAAGTTAGTACTCAATAAAGATCCTTCATAAATGATTACAAGTCACGTAACCATCGAGCTTAGGCAACCAACATTGCACGATTGATACTGTCAAAATTACTGGTCACGTGGCTTGTAGTCTCTTATGAGGGCCCTGTATGTCTTTCTTTAGAACAGGATGATAGTTTTATAAAATATCTTTTATAATGACATATTTTTTTAATAGAGAATTTAAAAATTTGTTTAGTAAATTTAACAGCTGAACATATCTGCGCAGTGGTTCCATGGCAGTCTTGGCATGTGCAGAAAATAAGCCAACATATTGTGCAAAACGTAATCAGAGAAAGAGAGGTATCGAAAAAACAACAGATATACAGAGTGTTTCATTTGAAAAAGCAAAAATGTGCTTAATAACTTCGAAATGCAATAACTTCGAAATGCAACATTCATTTGTTTTTTTATATATATTGCTTGAAAATCGCAAAAATATTTCCTAAAACTGAACATTCGTTCTTATAATTCCTTCAAAGTAAAAAGTTAAAAAATATAAGGGAGTAGAATGTTGTGTTATTGACCCTATAAATTTTGACAACCGCTGTTTACCTGAAATGTAAACATTTATGCCAAGGTACCAAAGAATTGCAAGTTTACCAATGATATATGGGGAATTTTATATAGAATAAGGCATTTTCATACAGCATAATACATTTATCTCTCATGCGTAGTGATGGATTCTAATTTAAATAATATTAATTGGTTTTATAAGTGGATTAAAATTATATTATGGAACAATCGTAAGTCTAATAATAAGTTCTTAATAACGAAAATCCTAAACGATTGAAAATTTAATTTCAACTAATTAAATACAACCATAAAGTTTATAATTGCAATATTTAAAAAGCGAGTCCATTAAATTACTCAAAAAGCAAATGTAACAATTAAACGCTTTGCTAATTATCGAAAAATAAGGTACTTAAACAGTTAGTTACTACAAAATATGATTAGTCGACAAACGTTGGCAACTATTATGAGTCAATGAAAATTAATTTCTGCGGTAATCACAACCTTAGTTTTAACTTCTCAGTCCTAAGCGATTGGAAATTTTATTTCAGTTAGTTAATTATTTACTATTTAGTTGGTTGCTTCATAAAGTTTATCGTAATCTCTATGTATGTACTTGTATGCAACTACTTAAGCTCATATTACACAAGTAGGTAATAGAACAGGATACTGACAGTTGAAAACGCAAAATTTAATAGTTGTCTGTTTTTCATAGTAAACACAACCTAAAAATTAAAAGAAAAACATATACAAATAATGAATATTATACAGGGTGTCCCAAAAGTGACGCCCGACCTTCTGGGTTTTGATTAAGGAGACAAAAACAATTCGAAAATCAAGAGTGGAAAATTTTCCGATGATTTTTCTTTGTTGAGTTATTCAAAAAATATATTCAAAAAAAAAAAAATAAACATTTGGGCTGGGTTATTAAATAATTATGTAGTTCAGAGCTGTATTTGCTGTAGCTGTTTGTTTTTAAATGAAAAGTTACCATAGCCATTGCTGGATGACGTTCTGTTAGCAGTTAGACTGAATTATTGGTTTCAACATGATGGAGCTCCATCACATTATGGTTTACGAGTATAAAATTATCTGAATCAAAACTCCTCAGATAGATGGATTGGAAGAAGTGGACCATGGCCTCCTAATTCACCAGATCTGAATCCCCTAGATTTTTCTCTTGAGTTTATTTAAAAGAAAAGATATACAGCGAACCTGTTGTAAATTTTCTGAAATTATTTAAAATTTCTTTACTATACTGAAAACTGCTAGGGTACTTTGTAGTTTTTCACACTGAACTTGACTAAATTATGTATGATGTGTCTTTTGTATTTAGGTATACATACTTTTGTGTTTTAACTTTTTTCACAGGCAGTGTTTTTTGGTGCTTTAAAGTTTAGTTTATATTTTTATTAAATATGGGGTTTTACACGATTACTGTTTTTACATAACTTAAGAATGAACAAAGACAAATAGGGAAATATGTATGTTTAATGCAAAAAAGTGTTTAGCTTGATGAAACTTCTTATTTTTATGTTGCGAATTTTACAACTGCCACGAATTCGACAATTTTGCTTGTTCGCATACTCACTAAAATGGAAATGCGAATCGTCACTAAAGATGATTTTTTCAGTAAAATCACCATCCACTTGCTGATTCTCAAACATCCAATCAACGAATGTCCGGCGCATTAAATGGTCGGTTAGCTGAATCTTGAATAATGCAGATACATACAGATCTTTTGTTAAAATCCGCTCCATTATGTTTTTTGAAATATTTTATTGCAGTGACCGATGACGCAGAGAGGTTACGGGAATTTCCGCCACACTTACTCACCCTGGCAATATTTTCGGCTGAACAACCAGTATCTACGAAACCGGTCTATTTTTTTATTGTCTGCAACCGAACCTATTGGTTCGAATTTTTCAACAACTTTTCATAGTTGATTCATCCGAGGCGTTCCTTCTACCGAAAATTCCACGTAATTTGCGCAAAGTCTCAGCTACACGCTCTGTGCACTTGTCATGAATTTTCACAATCTTCACTCGCTCACCGTCATTGTCTTTAACCGCAACGTGTATACTATAGCATGCACAATTTAAATTGTTACTTTTAGGACATCCTTTATTATGTATATAAACATAGGTTAGTTTAAATAAACTAAATCAACTTCTTTTCGTCATTACACTAACTTCATTAAATTTTATACAATTTCTCCCTATCAGTTTACTAAAGGAATGTGTTTTCCGTGTACTGGCAAGTTATTTAAACTGTTTCTAAAGGTATTTAAAAGTGCATAAAGCTATCTAAATGTATTTAAATTGATTTGTATGAATTTGTCGGGTATCTAATTATATTTAATTATATTTATGTACATTCCTATGCATCTAAATGTATTCTTTTAAATATTTTTCTCCAATTTGTATACCTACATATTTAAGTAGTGTCCTACCTCTCAGAATAAATTATAAGAAAAATACCTTTAGATACAGGGTGAGTCAAAATTCACTCCCCAGCGGCCGGATATATATTCTAAAATAAAAAATAAAACAAAAATGTAAAATACTAAAATCTCGAAAACGAAGCTGTTTTTGGAATGTTTTGTAAAGAAAAATTCAAATTTATAATTTTTTTGTTTAATATTAACACCATTAAAATCCATACAAAATAAGAAATAGCAAAAACGAAGATCCTTCTGGCTTTGGCTAATCTTCAAAAACATTACCATTTTCGTTAATATACTTCTGCAATCTGTGGTAGAAACTCCTGGTAACAGAACAGAAATTAGCTTCATTTATTTCCGCTACTGCTTCATGAATCCTGCCAATAACATCATCCCCGCCAACAGGCACAGTAACATAAATCTTTTCTTTTTTGTATTCCCATAACCAAAAGTCTATCGGAGTCAAGTCAGGAGACCGGGGTGGCCATAGTGTTGGTCCACCTCGTCCAATCCATTTATTAAGAAAACTGCGGTTCAAAATATGTCGTACTTGTAATGTGGCATGTGCGGGCGCACCGTCATGCTGAAACCACATAGTTGCACGTTGTTGTAGAGGAATATTTTCTGACAAATCTGGCAAAATTTTCTCGCAAAAATTACTGTAATTTCCACCCGAGTCCACCATTCAGTTTTTGTCCGGCCAACTTGATTAGTCAGTCGAAAATTGCGCATTTATTGAACTAAAATTTATTCGAAAACGGCTCCGCTTTCGAGATTTTAGTATTCTACATTTTTGTTTTATTTTTTATTTTAGAATATAAATCCGGCCGCTGGGGAGTGAATTTTGACTCACCCTGTATATTTTTTTTGTGGTCATTAAATTCGTTTCAAAGCAGAATTTTCTCTCGTCTAATCTGGGTTTGAGTGAGCATTCTTGTGACCCACCATTACGGTCATTC